CCTTCTCTCATATACAATCCACCCCTGCTTCTTATTCTTATGCCTATCAATACCCTCCTCCTGAAGTCCAACCTTGTCCCCAAGGTTGAAGTCGAGGTATTGTTCCCTGATGGTCACTTCATCCTCCCAGGTTGCACCATCTGGGCCTCCCTCTTGCCACTCTATCAGCAACTGTGGCACTTCCTCTCCTCCTTGTTGCGTCTGCCTTTTGCCTAGCAAGCCCATTGGCCAAAACGATGACCCTTCCACTTGCAGATCCTGTGGTAGTTCCTTCTCCACTCCTTGTGCGCCTATAGCCTTTTCTAACTGTGACACGTGGAAGACGGGATGTATCCTCGCGGTCTCCGGCAGCTGCAGCTTGTATGCCACCTCCCCAACCTTCTGAATGATCTGATACGGTCCAAAATATCTAGCTGCCAATTTTGAATGAAGCCTAGTTGGCATTGAAGACTGCCTACGGGGTCTTATCTTCAAATAAACCCAATCTCCAACTTCAACATTTGCTAGTTTTCTTCTTTTATTTGCCTGACGCACCATCACTTCCTGTGCTCTCTCCAAATGGAACCTCAATTGTTTCAAGGCTTCATCTCGTGTCTGAAGCTCTTGACTTACGGCCTCTACCAGTGTTTCGCCTGGAATGAATCTTGTGTCTGAAGACTGTCATCCACCCTTTTGGCTGCTCCGAACAAAAGCATCTTAGATACCCTTCCAATACCTGATTCAAGACCTTTGTTTGCCCATCTGTTTCGGGGTGGTAAGCGGTACTCATATTCAGCTTCGTCCCCTGACCCTTGAACAACTCCCTCCAGAAAATGCTCAGGAATAATGGATCCCGATCACTCACTATGGATTGGGGAATCCCATGCAACCGGATGACTTCCCTGATGAATACTTCCGCAACAGTCCTGGTTGAGTATGGATGCTTAAGGGGTAGGAAATGAGCGTACTTACTCAAGCGGTCCACTACCACCAATATAGCATCGTGCCCCTGCGATTTTGGTAGTCGCACTATGAAATCCATGCTTAATTCCTCCCATACTGCATTAGGAATTGGCAACGGTTGCAACAGCCCCTGAGGAGAAGAAGAGAGATATTTGTGTTGTTGGCACACAACACATCTGGCCACGAATTTTGTCACGTCTTTCTTCATTCCGGTCCAATACAAGGACTGGGCTATGCGCCTGTACGTTCGGTACACCCCGGAGTGGCCCCCAATCTGTGTTACATGGAATTCTGCTATCAACTTGGGAATCCACGTTGATTGTGCCGACAACACCAGCCTGCCTTTGTGGTGGAGCCTCTCGTGTTCCAGGGTGTAAGCGGGGTGGGTGTTAGGATCTCTCCTAATTTCCTCCATTACTCTATGTAAAAACTCATCCGCCTCCACTTCCCTCACTATCTCCCCGAAATCTTGCCAGAAGGGCCTGGCTACCATGCCCATATCTTTTTCCTCTTCGTGTTCCCCCTCACACTGCCTTGACAGGGCATCCGCAGCTTTATTCGTAGCCCCCGCCTTATAGATTATCTCGAAGTCGTAGCCCAGGAGCTTAGCAATCCAATCCTGTTGGTTTTGTGTGGTGATACGTTGTTCCAGCAAATGTCGGAGGCTTTTTTGATCTGTATGGACTACAAACCGCTGCCCTACGAGGTACGGCCTCCAGTGTTGAATGGCTAGCACTAGGGCCATCAGCTCCTTTTCGTAGATGGACTTGCTTAACTTTCCCTCGAATAGAGCCTTGCTAAAGAATGCTATCGGTTTTCTTCCCTGCATCAGGACTGCTCCCACGCCACGCCCCGAAGCGTCACATTCGATGTGGAAAGGTTGCTTGAAATCTGGCAATGACAGTACTGGGGCCGTAGTCATCGCCCTCTTCAGTGTTTTCCACGCCTCCTCTGCCTTCTCGTTCCAAGCGAAACCTCCCGTCTTCAGCAGCTCCGTCAGAGGTCGGGCAATCTTGCCGTAATCTTTGACGAACCTCTGGTAATACCCCGTTAATCCCAAAAATCCCTTCAAGCTCTTCACCATTTTCGGCCTTTCCCATTCGACGATGGCCTTTATCTTCTCATCATCCATCTCCACACCCCTGCTTGAAACATGTCCCAAGTACTTAACTTGGGTTTGTCCGAATTCGCACTTTCTCCGGCTAGCCACCCACTGATCTCGCTGCAGAGTCGAAAGAACGCGTTCGACATGCTCGAGATGTTCCCCCCAAGTGCGACTATAGACTAGGATGTCGTCAAAGAATACGAGGACGTACTTTCGTAGATAGGGCTGAAAAAGGTTGTTCATTGCGCTCTAAAACGTCGCCGGCGCGTTGGTGAGCCCGAACGGCATCACTACGAACTCGGAGTGCCCCTAGTGCGTTATGAACGTTGTCTTCTCTACATCCTTTTCACTCATACGAATTTGGTGGTACCCAGCCTTCAGGTCCACTTTAGAAAAATAGGACGCTCCCTTCAACTCGTCCAACAACTCCTCGATCACCGGTATGGGGAACTTGTCCGGTATCGTCGCTCGGTAAGTGCCCGGTAGTCTATGCAGAAGCGCCAGCTGTCGTCCTTCTTTTTCACCAGAATTACCGGACTCGAGTAGGGGTTGTGGCTTGGTCGGATCACCCCCGTCCGGAGCATCTCGGCAACCTGCTGTTCTATCTCGGCTTTCATCACGTGTGGGTACCGGTATGGCCGGACGTTAACGGAATCAACCCCTTCTTTAAGGGGTATGTGGTGCTCCATCTCTTTGTTAGGTGGCAGCCCCGTAGGCTCTGCAAAAACCACGTCATGTTTGTCTAGAAGTATCTCCATTTCTTCTTTCTGTTTTTCGGTGAGGCCCAAATACCTCTGTACATCATTATGGGCCTCCATTGAGCCCAATTCCCAAACCATGAACCAAGCCTCTGCTTTATCAATTTTTAACAAAGCACTAGGTCCCACCACTTTACGTTCCAACGTGGGGTCCCCCTTCACCGTTATCTCCTTCCCTCCTTGTTGATACACCATCGTCAGCTTCCCCCAGTCCACCGTCACTTCCCCCAGTTTCTCCAACCACTCCACCCCGAGAATCACTTCTACTCCCCCGAGTTCGAACAAGTAAAATCGTTCGACAATCTTAGCATCCCCCAACTCCAGTGCTACCTGCTCACAACAACCACTGATTCTCTTCTTCTGGCCGTCTCCCAGACTCACCATATATGGTCGAGTATCCACCATCACCATCTTCAGTTCCTCCACCACCCTTCGACCGATAAAGTTGTGGCTCGCGCCACTGTCAGTCAAAACCAGTACCTATCGTCGCCCAATTCGTCCTCGTAACTTCATCGTTTTGGGTGACGTGAGTCCGCCGGCTGATAAAGCCGATAACTCCATCTTAGCGATATTCAACTCAGTTCCCACATCGCTTTCAGTTTCTTCCTCCTCTTCCGCTAAAATTAGCATCCTTAGACCCGTCTTTGGGTAGCGATGGCCGGGGCTGAAGGATCTGCCACACCTGAAACATCTCCCCTCCTCTCTCTGTTTGATATACTCCGAGTATGGTAGATTGCGGACATTCCGATCACTTCCGCCATTGTTGATTCTCTCGTTATTTTGCCCCTGGGTCGCGTCTTTCCTAACAGACCCAACACTTTCAGCCGGCCCTCCTCGTACCGTCTTGTCACGATTAGATTCCACCCGCATTACCGCACCTGACGTTTTTCCCCAAGAACCTTGATTCTTGGACACCCATCCTCCTCCCGCTTTCGAAGTCGTACACAAACCTGTTCCTCGGGCATCTAGTTTGTTTGCGCAACCAACACTTCGAAATCACGAATATACTCCTCCACCGGCCCCACCTGTCTTATGGTCGACAGCCTCTCATAAACCGTCCCCCGTGTTCCTCCCCCGAAGCGTATTCCCAAAGCCCTCTTCAATCCATCCCAAGAATGGTTCCTGGTCTTTTCTCGCCAAAATCGGAACCAGCTCCCGGCGTAGCCCTCCATGCTAATAAAAGCCAATTGTAGCTTCTCCTCTTCAGCCACCCTTTGGATCTCGAAAAACTTCTCTGCTCTGCCTATCCATACCCATGGCTCGCCCCCTTCAAACACGGGTAACTCGACCCGTTTCCTCCAATTGACCATTCCTCCTTGGTTACCTTCTCCGCCTCTTCCCCTTTCGTCGTTGGGTCCACCCCCATTATCATTCACCGACGATTGACTCTCATCCTGATGTTGGCCTTTGTGATTGTGATTACGTTCTCCAAGCGCTTTCAAGATTGCTTGAATGTCCTGTTGTATCGCTGCCGTCTCTTGTCGCAGAGCCCCCGTGTCTGCTTTCGTCTCGGCTATTGCAATCTCGACCGCCTCCAAGTGCCCTTCAACAGCCACCACTCTCCCCTCCATTATGCGCTAGCTTCTCCTCTCCAATTGGGATCCGGCAGGTCAGACCAATTGATAGGTTCCTAAATTGGGAACCTAATCAAGAATGCTCTTCCTCACACAAGAACACAAGAAAGGACGAAAGAATATAGAATGATATTCACAGAATCAATGTTTGTACAGTGAGAACAGAGGCTTAACCCTCTTCATAGGTCAATACTTGTCAACAACTAACTCTCCAAAAGTCCCTCTCCCACTAACCAACCCTTTATTTATAACTACCTCATCCTCCTCCCTTTAACTGTCAAACAGTTAAATGATGACAGCTAACTCGCTCTCTTATTCCTTCTCTCAAATACAATCCACCCCTACTTATTATTCTTATTCCTATCACTCTCTCTATCTGAAAACTTGGGCGTTGTTTGATGCAGACCAACTAGTTGATCTTTTCCAAGTTCCCCATCAAGCCTGGTAGTGGTCTATCAATTATTCTTTTGCCAAATACACATTATAGCTATATCTTAATTTGCATTATATTATAAACTAATAATATGTTTACGCGAAGTATACAGAGATACAGAGACAATTTATATGAAGCCATTATTGTTTCTTTTCCCCATGTTCACATAAACAGTATGGTTAAATTACCACTGCGGCAGCAGCAGGATTCCCTCGATATAGAACTCCAACAGAGACAGCAAAGCTCGGATAACCATGTGCAAAGTTTGTTGTTCCGTCTGCAAATTTATCCAAATTTTGTAATTAAACTACACAAATAATGTGCAGAAAAAGCAATGGTGAGGAACATGCAGTCTGAGAAAATCATTGAAGGAGGAAAAAGATATTTTAGGCTTAAATTTATTTTTGGTGCCAAAAAGTATGACACTAGATAAAAAAATTATTTATTTTTAGTTCCTAAAAAGTACAAAAAATAATACTTTTCGAATCCCCAGTAGGGAGTATAATCCACATTATTTTGTTAAACGTAATAAGTGGATAATTAGAGGTGCTATAAAATTCCTTCCTTTGATTTAAAAACAAAGATAATCTTTATAAGGACTTAAACCATAAATACTTGTGTGCTTAAAACCATAAATACTTGAAATCCCAGACCTAAAGGATCAATGCACCAGAGATAATCAGATGCTGTATCTCCTATAACTCCTCCTTCTTCCCCAAGAATAAGATGATCATCAAAATTCTTTTTCACCACTTCTAATATGGCAGCTTCACTCATTTTATCAGTCCTGCAAATTATTCAAAAGCTAGTGAAAATAGGGTTAAGAAAATGATTCGTATTTGGTTAGAGAAAGAAACAAACAAAACATGCAAACAGGTTGTTAAGAGCTATTGTCTGTTATCTCGTTAGTTCCATTATCATTCTGTAGAAGTCAAAATTATGCAATTTCCATCTGTGCAGTTCTGTAAAGAAAAAATAGTTCCATACAATACGATGAAGATCAACAACAAAAGAAACCAGGAACGTGTTTGTTTTGTAATTTCCATTTTACTCTAAAGATATTTTATTTTCAATTTTTTTAATTATTTTTTCTAAAGTTTAAATTGCTTATATATTTTAGTTCAATAAAAATAAATATTAAATAATACACACTTCTTGTTTGGATGAATCAATTTATGCCTATTATGAAAAAATTTAATAGCAATAAGCAATATTTAAAAATATTGTAACAATAAAAATCTTTTATATGAATAATACTAGCACTGATACTATAATAATCATAATTATTTTATATGTTACATAACACATCTTATTATATTAATTATATGTGATACTAATTTAATTATGTATGAGAATTTATAGGCATAATGAAATATATATTGCTCACAAAAACTAATTACATTTCAAAAATTTATACAAGAACTGGATTGTTTAAATCAATTCAAACTACTTTTTAAATAGATTGAGTTAAATTTTAGATTTAATATTTCATTTAAGTCATTCTTATAAATGTTTTATTTAAATAATATATATATATATATATATATATATATGAGAAATATTAATTAAATAATTAAATTTATACAGATGTGGATGTGAAGAATGGCGTGCAATATTATACGTATATCCGAACCGAATACCCCTCAAATTTTATGGGTAAATGTACATCTGAATTGAGGCAGTAATTACCTAACGCATTTCACTTTTACTTTGAGGTTCCTTAAGGTCTGTAAAATTGTAATCCCTTGCTAAATGCAATACTATCATGGCATATTTTGTGCTAGTTTCTGCGCACCATGGAGAAAGAAAATTATGACAATAAAATGATAAACCAAAAACAAATCGGGACGATACAGGCATATATGAACACCATTAAGACTTGTGAGTGGTCAGAAACTAGCGAAGATGCACAGCCAAGCTATGTAGAGGACGAAGGCGCATACAAGAATTACATATGCACAAGAAAAATGGGAGCACATCTTAACTCCATGGTGCTCAGCTCTTAGGGACGGGTAGATCAGCAGACAGCAGATTTTATTATAATGGTAGTGGCTTTGCTAGAAAAGTTGCCAAAAGAAATTCCAGCATCAATAGCACCAATGGCTAGAAAATTTAGTTGATGAGTGGATTTTCGTGAATGCTTGAGAGAAAAAGCACACAATAGCTCTTATATACACACATATAAATATATATACTTGAACTGTGTAAGAAAATAAAGAGTTATACCAATTACATTCTCATCATCTCTGTTTGTAGTAACCAAAACTTTTAAAAAACGAAATAATAATATGCTGAAATGAATAGGAAGATTATGAAGATATTTTAACCTAATTACTATGGAGATATTGAGAATACTTCTTATCCTAGTATATATATTATTTACATCACTCTCTCTTAATTGGTAATTGAATATCAATCATTCCCAACTTACCTACAAGATCCGGGAATCTATCCTAAGAAAGCCCTTTTAGTGAAAATGTATCTGAAATCTTGTAGAGACGAAAAGTATTGGGCAACTCAAAGGATTTCCCAAATCCTGTGCTACCCAACTATATGAGAACAAAAAGGAAGATACTAGAACAGAGAGCACATTGTTTGTTTCGATAAATTGATTTGAACATAGGAAGGTAAACATCAATTATAGTTACAACGAAACCTTACTCGGTCACCAAGTCAGTTGATCCTTTATATGTAATATTTCGAGGCTTATTGACTGCTTCCATCACAACCTGTAAATAAGGTGTAATATCCAATATTAAGAAGGTGGTATGCCAAAACCATATTCAAAATGAGAGAGTCTCATCACAGTTGCACAGAAATATAATAGCACTTCGAATTTCGTGTCCGAAAACCCTTACTTTCCTTCTCATAATGGGGAGAGGAAAGAGACCTTAGTAGTTAAAAAATGGAAATAAATTAAACAGACACAGTTATCATGAAATCCTAAACTCGATGCACAAGCAAGCTGCAGAGAATAACAAATGTGAGTGAAAATAACAATGCAAAAGTGGAAACCGGAAAACCTGAGCGCCAGTATTTGCTGCAGTTTTAACGACTTCAATGAGATGAGACGGAGGAATAGGCCCTACTGATGGGGCAGCCACCGTTGGAAACTTATCAGATAGCAAAGAGTTGGCAATTAGGGACTGTGACCTGGATTTGGAGAGAATTGGATGGTACCCATTTGGATGAAATTTGAAAGGGTAAACATTAGAAAATTTTAGTGTAGAGGATAACGACCGTAGAGGGGAAAGGGTTACAGCTGAGAAGACAGTTGACATTATTAGTTTTCAATTGCAGAATGTACGTTGTTCTGTTTTGATTCAACGTTTCCTCTGCAAGCGTTTATGCCTCGAAGGCCAAACCGATGTATCGAACTCCACTGATTTCAGCAAAGCAATGGATAGTTGGATACCCAAAAGGAAGGGAAGGAAAAAAAAAACTAATTTTATAAACTATTCACATTTTTATTATATCAAAATAATATATATATATATATATATATATATAATTTTGAGAAAATAGTATTTAGAAAATAATATAATCCTGAATTTTTGAAAGAAAATTACTTAATTATATACACAACAGTATAATTTTATTGTTTATATAATTATGCTGTTTTTATGATTAATTAATCAAAAAATAAAAAATTGATATAATTTAATATATATATATATATTAATATATATATATATATATATATATAATGTGTGTGTATAAATTTTTAAAAATAATATTAATAAAATTATGTGACGTTATCTTAAAAGAAATACTTAATTATTTTGAATTAATAAAGTTATTCAATTACTTATATTATTAAATAAAGAAATTATTTATTACTTATCGAAGGGTAAAATTATCCGATTAAAAATACCTCTAGAATAAGCTACCAAACGGTGCATTTTCATTAACAAAGGAATATAACATTCACATCAGAAAATATGCTTAAATAGATCGATAATTTATTTTTTTATGGTTAATATTTTTCTTAAATTTTTTTGGTGTGTCTTTATTTTATTGTGCAACTTATAATATCATTTATTCTCCTTTCAGCTAATTTTTGTCAACAAAATGTTATCCACTATAGTAATTTTTTCATATGGAAAAAATGTAAAAATCTTTTATAAATTAAGAATTTACAAACATCTTTAGAAATTAAACAAGTTATTATTTGAAACTAAGTCACACCTAACTAAATTCTAGTATTATTTAGTAAATAATCACTCTTATTCTTTTTTGAAAGTAGTTATTCTTTGTTAAAATTAAATAGTTTGAAATACAAGTATTTTAACTAAAGTTGAACATTATTTTGAATCAGTCACTCTTAAAATTAAGTATTCTTTGAATGTAATAACGTGGGACTAATATTCAGTATCTTTTGGAATGCAGAGACTTTTGATTAAACATTAGTTTATAAAAAAAGATAGTTGGCGTGGAACAACTTTCATAAATCCTTTAAGAGATATTTGTTGTAGACAATTCGGACCCTAGACAACCTAACCTCTGCATAGCCTATCTATATAGAGAGTCTAGTTCCACTTAATTATTTATGAGAATTTTGGAGATAGAAAAAGACTATGACTAAAATTATTATGACTAAAATTATCTCTAACATACATGTTTTTATTATTCGAATATTGTTAAGAAAATCTCACAATATACGTGCTAACATATTTTTCTAAAATTGAGTTTTATTATTTATTGATAATCGAAGATTTTAAATAGTTGTAACATTTATAATGTTACGAGAATAAAAATAAAATATCAATTATCTTAAAAATAAAATATGTTTAATCTATCATAAAATAATATTATGCCGAGATAAATCAAAAGTCATAACTACGTATCCTTATTTTATCTCTATCAAATCAAACTAAATATTACTATATCCAAAAACTAATAAAATAAGATTTAAACAAAAATTATTAATAAAACCCTAAAATTTAAGTTTATCCCAACAAATTCCCCCATAAACTTAAATTCTTCCTTCCTTCATTCAACTTTCCATGCGCATCATCCCACATCGGATTTGCTTCTTTCAATCAGATTTGAGTTGGAGTTATCGAAGCTCTTACTAGTCATACCTTGCTTCAAGCGCCTTCTCTCCAATATTTTCAACTCTAGTTCATACAACCGGTTCTTCTTCGCTTTTGCTTTGATTGCTAGACGACCATGTTTATCCTTTAAATACAGTACTTGGTCCTTCATAAAAATTGAATTACCTTTTTTCAATTATCTGACACATGTTTAAAATATTGCTCTTCATCTCGGGAACATAGTAAACATCTCTAATCTCTCCAACTCGTCCATTGTTTTGCATATGCCGAATTGTTCCACGCCCTTTCACGGCCATCTTAGAGTCATCTCCGAAAAACATAAATTTGACCTCCACCTTGGTGAGTTTATAAAAAAAGTTCTTGTTTCCACACATATGATTGCTTGCCCAATATTTAGATACCATACTAAGTTGGTAGAAATCTCATTAGTCTTTGATTTCAAGCATGTTCTAACATCCGCCTTCTTTAGCTCCTCAAGCTCAACCCTTTGTTTATTCATAATCTCATTAGCTTCATCTAGAAGCCTCTGTATCTATTGAATCTCTTCGTCTTTTTGTTTGAGTTCCTTTTCCACGTTTGTTGCACCTTTTACCGAGACCAATTCATCCATTATTGAGACCAAATTTTCTATGACCACTGCATCCGAGCTCTTTACCGGCAAGAGTTCTTCTGCATCTTCAGTAACGAGATTTATTCTCCCCCTTTGTCTCGGTCTTGCAATACTTTGCAATATGGCCAGCCTTGCCACAGTTGTAGCACTTGATTGATCTACACTTATTTGCATAATGGCCATACTTGCCACACTTAAAACACTCAACTCTTGACAGATCTCCTCGGCCTTTCCTTTGTCCTCAAACACGCCAATTCTGTTGACCGATTTGCTTTTCATTATCATTCTCAAAATTACCTTGGCCACGTCCACCTCGTCCTCGCCCTCCTCATCCTCTACCGCCAGAACCTCGGCTCTGAGTAATCCGAGATTTATTCGAGTCAAACTGTACTTGTAATGCTTGATCGCCAGGTTCAACATGATCATCCCAACTCCTTCTCCTTTGTTCGTGGGCTTCTAATGACCCAGCAAGTTCATCCACTGTGAGAACTGACAAGTCTTTCGATTCTTCGATGACACACACGATACTTTCGAAATCTTTTGTAAAGGATCTCAAATTTTTCCCACAACCCAGCGAGATGGCATTTGTTCTTCATTCCTTCTGAGTTGGTTGACCACCTTTTCCACCCGAGTTATGTACTTGGTTATATGCTCTTTGGACTCCATCTTCAACTGTTCAAACTCTCCTCTGAGAGCTTGTATTCGGACTTGTCTAATGCGTTTATCACCTTTATACGCAACCTCCAATATCTCCCACGCTTCCTTTGCTGATTTGGCATTCGCTATTTTTTCGAATCCCGACTCATCTACTACATTGTAGATAAAATACAATGCTGACCCATCTCATGGACGTTATTTCTTTAACGTGGTTATATGTGTCACCGTCTGATGTTCATCTTCATCAGGTTCAACGTACCCGTCTTCCACCATATCCCAAATGTCTTGGGATCTCAATAACGCCTTCATCTGTAGGCACCAATTAGCATAATTGATTTTTTTCGTCAATTGTGGCACACTCATACCATTGACAACATTTGTCATCTCTCTCCACAAAAAATCAAGCACTCATTTTTTCTCTCACGATGTTTGACTCTTCCATCTCTCTTTTTTTTCTTTCTCTCGGTACTCAAAGCATAAAGTTCTGATACCACTGATGAGAAAATCTCACAATACACACACTCAGATATTTTCCTAAAATTGAGTATTATTATTCATTGATAATTGAAGGCTTTAAATAGTCGTAACACTTACAATATTACGGAAATAAAAATAAAATCTGAAAATAAAATATCAACTATCTTGAAAATAAAATCTGTTTAATTTATCATAAAATAATATTATACCTAGATAAATAAAAAATCATAACTACGTATCCTTATTTTATCTCTATCAAATCAAACTAAATATTACTACCCAAAAACTAATAAATTAAGATTTAAACAAAAATTATTAATAAAACCCTAAAATTTAATTTATCCCAATTGCAATGTGTGTTTTGTTTAGACTATCGAATGATTCAATCAGTCTTGACGATGGATGATCTGTACGTTCTTATATTTGCTATGTGTTTTCAAAACTGTCTTGCGTAAACAAGACGTAACAACAAATGTTTCTCCAAGGTATATATTACATAAAAGTTTTTTCAAATATAAAGATTCATATCTTCAACAATAAAATCCAAGTCTATCATACGGTCATAAGATAAATTTTATATGAAAATAGTATATTATGTATGTTTAACAACATTTAATATAAGATCAAGACTTTCTATATCAACCTCCTAACTAAGAACACATTGAGGAATGCATAAAAGATTCCATACTAATGACAAAGATCAAGCAAAGTTCAGTTATTAGCAAAGAATTGTTGCAAAGGTCATTTAAAGAAGCCTATGGAAAGGAATCATGATGAAGAAGAACATACTCAATTACATACAATTCTTTCTATCTTATAATGCTCAAATAGTGTTAATAGTTCTTTGTGGCTGAGTGAATATATTGTCATTATAAATGTGTTAATTCTAATTTCTAATGTACATTTAGTTCATTCTCGATTTTCATTCCCTAAGGTATATTATTGCAGACAATAACACTTTATACTGTAAATAGTCATAAAGATGGTTTGATACTTGATTTTTCTTCCTTCCCACTATGTAAAATCTACAAAACTTGGGGGCACAATACGATGCTTTCTGGTTTTCTGATCCATTTAGGGAAGTAGTCAACCCCTGTTAAACTATGAAAGCTCGTCCTTATTTCCCTATTTCCCTTGAAGTTTACAATAGGCATACAAACAAGATCCCAGAAAGCCAAGAATTTGTCCAAGAATATTGAACTGTGAACAAATAAAGCATAAGAAGAAAAATTTAGTGAGCTTAGTGATCAAGAAATTCAAGAATACGAAAGAATTTGTTCTTACCAAATCATATGGAAGTCCTCCGAATAGTAACCAACCAAAGCCACTAGTAAAAACATCCTGGACCAGAGGAACAGATCAGGAAACAGTAAACATAAGAATCATGAGAAGCACAAATTTTTATGTTTCAAAACTAAATTGGTATACATAGCATCTACAATGCATGCATTACTTCAAACATTTTGTGTACCTTGTTACGAAAATGCTGCTTGTGTAAGTAGAAAAACAAACGGCTCATATACTTCAACAGTGAATATTTTTAAAAGCAACTTTGCTTATGAATCAACCTCCCATCAGAGTTAGAACAAGAGTCCATGGCTATGTAAAGAGAGAAAAATTATTTTCATGTTTAAACTAACGGTTTGTGCTGCCAGAAAAATCTTAAGGTAATTTCGATACATACTTTAAGGATGGAAAAATGGGCAACGACAAAACTATAAATAACTGACCTTTAAATTACCACAAATTGCCTGTGTAAGTGCCGAGTTGATAGTTGTGTTCAACACTACTATGTAGTTTATAAAGAAAGTGAAAGCACAAGAAAGAAGCATAACAACCTGCACAACATTAAGATTCAAATTTCATATAATGCCTCCAAAAACTATCACAGACAGTTTGACGCTATATAACAAGAAATGCATGACTGCTGTAGTTCTATTAAAAACCTATAGTTTGAGATGGAAGTATCAGAATTCGATTTGTAGAGGAAGTTAAGAAAAGAAAGAGGCACCTGAAATCCAGGGTAGAAAAAGTATGGAAAGTTTAGTGTTGTTTGGATGTCTCCTCTGAGTAAGGACCAAAGAAACAAGATTGGTCCACAAATCACGACTAAATAGAAAAAAAGAATCGAGAAAACTGCAATTATTGATAAGAACAAAATGGCATTGAATATTAAAGAAAACTTCAAGATCACTGAATGTTACCGTTGCACCATACAATGCCAAAAATGTTAAGGCCGGTGGATTTACCTATGAAAAGTCGTGAATTTGTGAATATTCAATGAAGAAATGGGTAAAATAATGAACAGAATGAGTAGAAGAAGAAAATGATGAAATCTTACAAAGACGAGAAACAGAAGCAAGGTACACCGCCTTACACATGTTTTCTATGAATACAACTGAATAGGAATAAGAATCAAATGTGAAGTCGCGAGCTCCAGCAACAAAAGCCCCTGCTATGATTATCCCAACGCTGAAAAATCCCTTAGTTCGTTAGGCACAGTAACATAATCGCTCAATAATTCAATGTAGGAAAAACTTAATCGCAACAACTCCACCTCTGTGCTCGAATACATCATATTATTGACGATAACATTAGTTTTATAAAGTCAAAGGATAAAAGCAACTTTAGAATATATAAGTAAATGTGAATTTTATCTTAATTAATCTTATAAATAAAAAAATTACTTTTTTATAATTATTTTATTTTATAACATGCATCAAATAAATATAAATGTATGTAATTCAACCATTATAAAATATCTAAACAGCAGATAAAAAAAATATTGAGAGAGACATACCTTCCGACAACAACTCTTGAATGTATCTGTCCTGACAGAAAATACTCCATAACCATTGTGAAGGCCACTACAGTTCGCCTCAGGGTGGTGTACATCGGAATGTTTATGCCTCGCACTGCTTCCATCGTCACCACCTATTATCACAAAGGTGTAAACAATGCTTGTAGGAGAAAACTCGTGCTTCTCTTCTCAACGAAAAAGGCTCAAAACAAAAAAGTGCTTACCATAAAAAGCAAATAAGTTAAAGCAAGAGGAAGTGTTTGGGCCAATGTCCTAAAGGACACAAATACTGCTGAATTGCTAGAACCGCTCAGCGATTCACTAGTTGTGAAAGAAATCACCTTCAAGGATTTCATCGCACACAGAATCATGAATGCAAAAACCATCTGAAACCAACAAGTACCATAACTTTTCAACAGGAAGCTCAAAGAAATGGTCAAAAATCATCTTGAAAAAAGAGCAACCTGAGAAAGTGTGATGACATTTGCATAAGGGAAATTGTAAGAGGAGAGGGCTGCTTTGTTGAACATGACCAAGAGAACTGTAGAAGAATCAGTCATTACATTGAACTGTTACAATGGCACATTCTATCTATGCACCAAAACTCAACCAGGAACAACTGAATACAAAATGCATTTTTTAAAATTAAAAAAGTATATATTATTTTTAAATTTAATTTTATACTATGTAAAATGTGTTTGTCATTTAAGTCAATGTTCACTACAAAAAATACATCAGTTTAGTCAATTCTAAATATATGCTAACTTTTTAATAAATAAAAGTAAAATATTTGTATTAGTATTGAATTAAAACTCACTGGTTGATGCTATTATTAGAGTTTAATGTTAGACAGTTATAGAGTCAACTTACTTAAGTTGAACTAATTATTTTTAATTTTTGTTGATAAATAAAATATTTGTGCTAGTCAGTATTGACTTAGTTTGTACTAATTAAAAATAATATTAAATATAAATAAATTAACATCATATATATTAATATATTAATATTATTTATTTTTAATATTTATATTTATTTAAATTAGTATTTTCAAAATTGACACCAATTTTATTTATTATATCTTTTATTTAAATTGGCACCGATTAGATTAATATTGATATAGTACAATTTTAATAATATTTATTTAAGTTAGTATCGTTTTAACCTATATGTGATATGAATCTTTATGAAAATGAATTAAAACGATAGATTATACCTAATTTAAAAACAAAATTTTTTTTATTTATTTTCTATATAATTTTTTTCACATATTGATCTCATTTATCTATATTTATTTTCTTCATATACTCCAAATTGTTTCTTTTGTTTTATTTTTGTTAAAAATAGAGACAATGTACAATAATTCTTTTTTTAAAATTATTGTTATCAGTGTTGATTATACTAATACAAATTAAGTTATCATTAAAAGTAGATTTCGTTAACTTCAATTAAATTAACGTTAAATTAATAAATTTAAAATAAAAATATATTAATTAGCATCAATTTAGTTAACAGTAAAGTGTTTTAATTAAAAAATAATTTAAAAATTAGTTATAAAATAGCATTAGTTATTTAAAGCCGGTTTTTAAAATTGGATCATAATTAATCAGTATTCGTAATTTTATGATTTGTTCACTATTTAATAACATTGACTCGTTAAAATTCACTTTTAACCATCTCTAAATATACATATTTTTTAGTAATTAATTGTGGGAATTGATTTTTAATTGAAGTTACATTTTTTGAAAGTACTTTTTCACAAGTTATAATTTGTATAAGAGGACATGTTTTAAAAAAAATTAGTTACTATCATATCCAATAATCTTACATTATTTAGAAGTTGATTTATATTGTTTAGAAGTTGAAGTTTAAAAAAAATTAATGGAATCCTTAAGAATCAAATGTTTGGTCATCAATTCTAGAGATAGAATATTTTCTTTTTAATTTTAAAAAACGTTTCAAAGAATAGAAAAAAAATTATATAAATTGTGTTTTACTTCGATTTTTCAACTTTTAAACTTGTGAAATTATGATATATAATAAAAATCTCATGTATTATGCTTTTAGAAAGAAAGGGAAATGCCAAGGAAGAAAATTAAATATAATGAATGAAAAAACTTGGTCAAATGAGACAACAAAGAAACACCTGAACCTGAAATTGGGTCACTTAACAACCAACACATAGTAGAACTGCCTAAAAATCGTCTCATCTTTACAAAAGCCAAAACTATACATATTCCACAGAATAGGCCCCACATCCTCCCAAAATTTCTATACAATATATATCACAGAAAAATTAATTAGAGTAGGTTCGAATTTTACTAAGAAAATTCATGAATTGAATTTAACTGAAGTTAAAAGAAATAACTTAACATTATAATTAGTTCTAAAAAATTGTTAAACATATGAATGAAAACTGAAAATTGATTTGAATATTCTAATTAAAATTCAACCACAGCAATAAATTTGATTAGAGTAATAATGAAAATATAAATTTGACCTTGGTGGGAACATTGGACTTTCAAACGAATTTATCTGTAATAATGTGTAAGTGTAAATGAAAATGGCTTCAGGATGCAATGTCAAATGTGTATTCAATAATAGCAGCTAGGGTTTCAATTTTGCATTCCTGAAGTTGACACTTGTAAGTTTTATTTAATGGAGCACTTATACCATGATATGGACCTCATTCCTCTCACTGTTAACTTTTTCTTCTATTATCATAAGAACAACTACCACCACACCTTCATGTCAATCCTACAATGTTTCACATGAGATATGGTCCCCACCCACCACCTTATTTTCAATGAACCTTCAAAAACAACAACTTCTTACTCTGCTTCTTAAAAGTATACATGTTAATTGTGTTAGGTTTTTTTTCAGAAGAGAGATTCACAAGATTCAACACCAACTAAATGTAAATAAAGTTTATATATAAAAGTGTCCAAAGTTTAAGGATAAGTCTAAGTTATTCAATCTAAGTCTAATCATCTTTATAATATTATAATATTATAATATGGAACTTAGGATTTTAAATTATAAATAATATTAGTTTCTTTTTATATAAGTTGAACTCATATTAGTGTTATATTTTTTAATAATTTTTTTTAAAAAAACTCAGATTTATCAAATTTAACTTTTTCTATCAAATTCGAATTCTTAATCAGTGGAGACTCAAACTATTTTTGGATAATTTCTATTTTTCACGTTCAAAACATCATGGAAAGATTCCAAAACTCTAAAACAAACATGAACATAATCATTTTCATTATATACCATTCTATCTCACACATGTTTCAGCTAATTTAGAAATAAAGAACATGTTCAGACGATGAGAACACAGTTAAAAAGCTAAAAGATTTATGCAATATACGCTAAAATATACTAGATATTAATGTACATGATCAAGAATACTTAGTTTAAAAGTAGTATAAGAAAAAGAATCACAAACCAGAAGAGGCCATATAAGATAAAGCAACGAAGACTCCTTTCTTTGTCATGGCTGAAACTTTTCTCTGTCTCTCTTCATTTTGTTTAGAATCTTCATGAGAGAGTGGCAACATCAAATTCTTCCCAGACTCCATTGATGTTGTATATGTACTGCCACTAATTCGTTTGTATGAGAAAGTTATTTTATAAAGAGTGGATATAGAGAGAAAGAGAGAGAGAGAGGAAGAGGGTGATCAAGGGAAGTGAGGGGAGATGAATTTATATAGCATGATCCTCACTACTTTTTACCTTATTCTGTGACAGACAAAATGGTCAACATGTAGATCACTTTTAAATGGCTTTTTGGTCAAAAGAGTCCAAAAATTACATATCTTTTTTTTTCTTTAAGCATCCTCTCCAAAATTACATATTTATAAGTTGAACTCAGATTATTGATTATAGTATTGTTTTTCTCTTACATGTTTTTTTTTGCTCAAAAAACCTATCGATGCTATCATAATTAAATTAGTTTTGATTACTGACTTATACAAAAATACAAAAAGATTAAGATCATTGAAAATTTAATTGTGAGTTTAAGTCGTTTAAAGAATATTGAACTCAAAGTTCATTTGAGTGAATTCCCTTTCTAAAGATATGTCTGCACACGAATTCTTCTTCTTTCCTTTTTAATGATAGGACTTACATGAAAACGATGTTAATTAACTACTTATAGAACAAATGAGATGTAAAAAACAGGCCGAATAATCAAGCTCACCAATTTCACACAAGAAGGACAGAATTCCCGAAAAGAGGACTTGGTAGCAAACTAAAATGCCGAAGCCACTTAGCTGACAAGGCAATATTCTTTCCCACCAAAGATCTAATGATGGCAAAAAGGTCTAGGTCATCACAAAATTCCCAAATTAGGCTTCGAGATTGTATAATGGACATTTTAGTTATGAAATTTTAAATTTCTCTATTATTCACTTCCTAGTTTTACAAAGAAACTAATTTGTTTTTGTTATTTTATTTATTATAGAGCTGTCAAAACGGACCACTCGGTCTGACCCGGTCCGGCCCACCACGGGTTGGTCACTTAGTGAGTCAACCCAACCCGGTTCATTTATTAGCGAGTCAGAAAAATTCGAATTCGGTCCGACCCACCACGGGTTGACTCACCGGCTCACTTAATTACAATTTTTTTTAAATAAAAAAAATTTACAAACTTTCTATAATTTAAATCTAAACAAATTTCAATCCAAAACAAAATAATAAATATTTTTTATAAAATTAAAATTAAATTTTAATAAAATAAAATTAGGTAGGTGGGTTGGTGGGACAACCCGGCCCACCACGGGTTTAACCCGCATGAGCCGGGTTGAGATCTGACCCGCATAAAAAAATATATTTTTTTCAAACCCAACTGGCTCAAACCCGTGGTGGACCGGTATGACCCGCGGGTTGTGACCCATTTTGACAGCTCTAATTTATTAATATTATTTTGCATCAATAAAGATTTATAACAAAAACTGAAGAGTAATGAAAAATTTATAAGATTTTTCATGCCCTATCATTTGGAAATTTACCATTGCTCTTTGGAAGAGTGTACAAAAAGGATAATGAGAGAATTAATCTTGAATGTATGATGAAAGGAGAAAAGGAAAAGAATTTTAAAATTTTATATATATATATATATATATATATATATATATTATTTTAGTATTTTTTGTCTTTTTTATTTTTATTAAATTAATCAAATTATATAATTTTTAAATTATTTTTTATTTTTTTCCTCACTAGTTTATATTGTATCAAAATAGAAATATTCAATTGTATTGTTTCCCAATATTTTTATTACATATTTTTTCCTTCTATACTAGTGTGTGTATATAATATATATATATATATATATATATATATATAATATGAAACAATTCTCTCCATGTTAAGCTTATAATATTATTATAAAAATAGTTTTTAATGTTTGTTATTTTTTACTTTAACTTTAGAGGAAACTCTGCATCATATAAAGAGACATCAAATTAACGACAAAGTAGAAAACAAACGTTAAAAAACGTCGATTATGCGAGAGTATGATGACTTTTTATGACAAATAGCACAACACATCAACGTTCTATTGGTTCCATTTCAAACAAAGTTCTAATGTTGTTGGGTCCTCCATCGTTTCGGTAAATACGATGCTCACTCTTGTTTTGTGTTCTTCATAGTATCATCTTTTATAGGTGATGAATTCTTGAACTGCTGAAAATGTAGCACAACTATTATGTATGAATAAATGTTTAAAGTTTGATCAGATTTCTAATTAATATATATATATATAATAATAATAATATTATAGATCATGAACATATTATACACATAATTAGACCATATATTAATAGATATACATTATATATATACATATATATATATATATATAAAATATACATATATATATATATATATATATATATTATATTTGTCCAATCATTTCTAATTGCAGCTCAAATAATTGTTTTTATCTAAGACATGACATTATAGTCACATTTGATGAATATTTGTGTTTATTACACTAAACATGACAAAGAAAATAATCATATATAAAGGTCATAAATTGACATGCAAAAATTAATAACTTTAAGATAAATGAGTTCCAACCTTTGGATATAATACTTGAATTTGGTGTGCTCTAGGCTAACATCCAACTCTAATTAAATTGGAAACATAGGTTAGTATTAATATAACTAAGTAGATTATATGAAGAAAAAAAAAAGTAACATTTACATTTGTAACATGAATTTCAAACTAGGTTTCATCTTCCTATGCAACAAACAAAACCATACAATTGTGTACTATCTTAGAATGGTGACTATTAATTGTTAATGGCCCTACCATCAATCACAAATAGTTAGTCCAATAATTAACATTACTTCATAAAATATTACATTCATTAACACCTACCCAACAATGTAGGACGCAAGGCACATCTTTCTTTTTGACTCATACATCCACATTTGTAAATAAGTTTGCTTGTGGTCAAGTATGATTCCAGAAGATTGAATTGTCTAAGGTTCAATAAATTCATACATAGAAGTCCGACCTTGGTCCTAAATGACTATGTCCATGTATCTATAAAAAGACAATTAAGTATAAATTTAAAAATAATAATTCCAAGATTTAAATATGAAATACAATGAAAAATCTTACCTGCAACATAGTTATATGATTGAAATATTCAACATCTTGTCTCCCCTAATTATCTTTAGGGCATGATTTAGATTAATGTACTATAAGACATGACACTATAAAGGTCAAATACTCTTAACTCCTAATCTAGCACTGACGGTTCTCTATTCAACTTGTTTAATTTCCTTAGGAGCTTTCCTAGAGGATCATCTATTACTTCTACCATGTCATCATCTTCATGGATAAGAATTAACACTTGACCTGCTTTCAGGATAAGAGAACTCAAATAAAGATTCTCAAAGGTATAAATCATTTAATTATAAACTGTAAGATAAAATACTCAGAATAACATTATAGTACTTGTGGTGGGCCAAAGTAAGACATGATCAATGCATTAGGCCACACAATAAATGTACCTAAGACCTCCCCCACGAATTGGATTTTTGAAGTTGACACAAATACTCAAGCATGGGGATATCAAATGTCATAATCGTTGCACGCGTTACGGGGAAATAGTGGAGCATCATAGACAAAATCATATATTTTCTTTTCAACACAACAAAGAAAGATTGTAAATCATCAACAAAACTAACCATGACCTATGTTTGCTACATCTATAGCAAGTACAAGTCTTAATTTTCTTGGCTTTGCACCAAATTCTAGAAATGTTTTATCATTTTTCTTCCATTATGGAGAATATTAGTTGGGTGTCGAAGAAGATTATCACACTTTCTTCCATCAGCATGTCATTTCAAGTTCTTCACATATTTTTTAATGACAAACAATCACTTCAACCTAGGTATTATAGGCAAGTGTTACACCACCTTAATAGGTGGACCATCTTTGTCTTTATCCCCAATATTTCCATCAATTTTCTTTTCAAATTACGATAAACCACGTGTTAGAATGCCTTCAGTGAAGCAAATTTATCTCTATAGAATACACAATCATTGGGGCATACATGTATCTTTTGGTGTTCCAAACTCATTGGACATAGAATTTTCTTTGCCTTGTGATTATGGGTAGGTAACATGTTATTTTCTTAAAGCATTTCCTCCAGCAACTCCAACAATTATGTAAAACTTTTATCAATCCATCTATTTCTTGCTTTTAAGCTGAACAATTTCAAAGTTGTCGACAGTCATGTAAAGTTAGCGCATCTTGGGTACAACTCTTCCTCTGATCGAACTTAAGTGAATTGTATAAATGGGCTCTTTCAAAATTTTCTTCACCAACATCATGTGCCATGTTCTCTAAATTATTAGTCATTTATTCGTTCACATAATCTATTCCTCGTGGCATTATAGGCTTGTGTAATACTTCTCCATGTCAAGTCTAAATTGTATAACTCCTCACTATACCAAAAATGAATATATGATCACGTATTGTGCCCAAGTCCTGACGTATTTGATTAAGACAACGAACATAAAGACAAAAATATGTTATATTCATAAAGATTGTGTGCGTGTGCGTGTTCTTGAGCATATTGCAAGAATTCAAAAAATCCTCTTCATACTCTTTACGGATGTGACATTTATTCACTTAGCTTCGATCCATACTATGTTCGTAACAAATTCTATTAATCTCAAAATTCTAACTCTTAGAAGGTGAGACCCTGCCCATTCAAAGAAAATATTTTTCATAATTTGCCAACTTGTATATGAAGAAGTCTAACATCATAAATTTGATAAAATTTCAGCAACTTCTCTCACTAAGTCTCCAAAGTACATGAAATTAAAATGATCACTCATGACCACAATAAAATATACATCTAGAGAACAATATAAAATGGTTTCAACCGAAATATTATCAAATTTATGCATAAACTTCAATGTACACGTTATAGCGAATTATAAAAAATATTTTTTCAAACTATTCAATCAAACAATTCAAAATTAAATACAAACAATTAAAAAAAATACTATTATTTTCTTTTCATAATTAGGTCCAGACGAAAAAGAAAGCATAACTATAAATCGAATAGTGATGCATATTATGAAGAAAAATAAATTATAAAAAAGTATAACCCTTATAAAAATTATT